TGGTCCTCGCGGCGCTATGCATCCCCCTGTGTATGACGTTGTCTAGTTTATGTATATTGTCCATGCATGACATCTTATACGTATATTATGCACGGTGTGGTCAGGAGATTAGTCTTTATTGAAAGATTTATACAAGAAAAAACTGAATGCGAAGTCATCAGATAGGAATATTTCATTCAGATATTGCGGTTTGATTTCGAAGTGAACCATCTTCGCAAGTATGTGAATAAATATTCGGTGAGAACTTCGAATTTCAGTGTTGAACTGCAATCAGCTTTCATCGTTTTGAATGATGTCATTTGGCACTTTTGCTTCTATTCGTCTGAAATCGAATGCTTCATTTACAGAACTACGAGCTTGAGAGACCATCATGAAAGAAATATCACTGAATTCTCTAACCTTTACGCATCATTTCTAAACGATTACATAAAATGCCTTTGAAAAAAAAAGAAATAAATTGAACGTCGTTCAGATCACTGAAGTTTTCTTACGTCTGAAGATGATTCCTTCTCTTTACTCGATGATGAGGACGACTGTTTTTGGGGTTTTGTCTGATCAGGCTCTGTCGGGCCACTTGAGGGTATTGGCAAATCTGCTTTGGGTGGTGGTATGACGGGTACGAGAGGAGCGAACTGTGGAGTTGGCTGTTGACTTGCGAGTATGTCAGGATTTGGAGATGAGGGCGGTGGAGGAAGGGGAGCAAAGGCTGGTGATGGCGAATAGTTGGGTGGAGGAGCACCATCTTTTGCATTCATCCAGAGTGGGACCTGAAGCTTTCATGCCACCTTATAATCGGTATTCATTTTCATGCGATCATCAACTCCAAAACATACAGTCTCAAAGTCGTTCTACTGAGTTCATACGTATGCTTCTACACCTCATAAAACTCTCAGGATTCATTAACTACTTTCAGTTGCATGAACGGCTCAGTTCTGAAGCGACATATATCACTCTGTAGCTGATATTTTGTTCTATCGATTAATATGCTTATACAATGAACATCGTTGTGGAAGTTTCCTGTCACAAATTAGAACGATGAAAAAAAATTCAGGACATATTGCATCATGAATGTAAATCGGCTCGAAATTGACTCCAATATCTAGCTAAGGGACCGTAGGGAGAACTGAAGTAGTTGGATGGTTTCTGACATTTGCAAGCAGAGATGAGTTCATGGATGGTACAACACATGTTGGCCGATCTTGCACGCTTGAGCTGTCCTCGATGATTGAAAACTAATTCAAATCAATCGAAAGTGAAAATCTCAGGTGAGCGCAGTGTAGCAAATCCCGTTCATTTCACCTTCAGCAGATTAGAAAGGTGGAGAGCAGGGAAGATAGGATTTCGTATGGTTTGAGCATTGTTCAACAGATAACTTGTAACCGAATATGCATTGATTTTTTGAGATGAACTGATGAAGATCCTTCTGTCTGTGAAGAATTATTGCAGAGGAAAACAGCGTTTCATGCTTTAATCTGCAGGGGTCAGTCATTCGACTCAGTATCGGTGAACTACCATGCAGATTATCATTAAATCTCAAGAAAATTAGGGTGATAATTTCCTGGTCAGCATTAAACGTTATTCACCGCGAGTTTCCGGGCAATTTACAAGCAATAACTGCCGAATATTACCAGACTTCAATGCACAAAATTAAAAATAAATTTTTCATGAAAAGGCACATTTGATTGATAGTTGATAAGAGGTCCCACTGTGAGATAACACTAAATTGAACGAAGTGTTGTCGAATGTGAAAAAATTGAAGAGTGAGAATTTGATCTTCTGCCTCATCCATCCTATTGCCTAGATCAATCACTAAAAGATTATCATCTTTTCAAGAATCTCGAATTAAGAATCTACTCAGGAAAAATTAATGAATGAAGCCTATTGAACAATGGTAATTTTTTGAGCCTAGGAAGGAGGCGATCTGATAAAAGTGGATAAAATCTCTCGCCTCACATTGAAAACGATATGCTGATTCCTTTGTTCTAATTTGGGATGAAAATGTCGACCTAGATGTGAGCTGTGATTTTTTGAAATTTTGGCACCGAATGTCGGAAACATGTGAAACGATCTGATATCCATCCCAACGGAATCACAAAGCATCAATATTACCGTCACCACATTTCTCGTTATTATCATTTCTCAAGTTTGATTGCAATTATTCCCAACAAAAGCAGGAGTTATGTCCAACCTGTGGTGAGTTATTGTTTGCAGCATTTCCGGGACTTTGAACCCATCCCCAGTTGCCTGATTCACTTGATGTACGGACTGTTTGATATTCGTGAGAGTTTGCACTTAGCGTTGAAGAAGTTGCAGTGCTTTGCTTAGTGTCAGTTGTTGCACTGCGCTCCTGAGTACTCGACGACGAGGATGATGATGACGCATCATCAGTGGTACCGCTTGACGGCTTAGTTTTTGAAGGGGCTGCCTTAGAATCCGTCTTTGAAGAGGCTGCCTTAGAGGATGTCTCTTCTGATTCCTCCTTCGATGATCCTTCTGCCGAACTCTTCTCGGTCTCTTTCCCAGTACCTGCATCTTCCTCTTTTGTTTTACTCTTCACTAGTTTCACTTCAGTTACGAATCTATCTTTTGATGGCTCTTTAATAAGTTGACTATCCACACTTCCGCCATGAACAGTTTTTGCACGAATGACGCGTGCTCGAGCCTATAAAATATCGACATCAATTAGCAGATCACCCAAATGACTTTGCAGTTGCAATGTTCTTTGTGAGAGGTGCACTCGACTGCATTCGTGCAAAATTATGAGATCTTCATTAAGTTTAAGTCATTTGAATGCAGTTTCTTTGGTGCAACGTTCCACAATTTAGGAATGGTTATTGTCTTCTAGCACTTTCTATGAATAGCAAAAGGAAGCGGTGGGTGATCGGATCAACAGATGCAGTGCAAAACTCATTGCTTACTGTTCGCTTTAAAGAACCAGTGTAATGAATCAAGCTATTTGTAACATGAATATGCAGCTTTCAATAATACCGGTGGAGTTTTCTCGTCGGCCGGTGTTGTAAGTGGCTCACTGATAACTTGCGCAGCAGGTACCTGTCTACTCCTAGCCGTTTTTATCACTTCTTCGGATGGCACCTTCTTCTTTGCGAGTAAACCAACTTCCTCTTCGGCATCCCATTGCGTTTTGTCCATGCGAATTTCTTCAGATTTATCTGATTTCTTCTCCGATGATTCTCTTTTCTAAACGGTAACATCCACTGAAGATCTTTCCTTTTATGAGAAATCTCAATTTCATTCGTTCTAATAACGAACACTTGTTTGATCGTTTGATCAATAGATGTGTAATTGCATCATTTCACCACGTCATAATTTCGTGTTATACGCCTTTGTAATATAAATCACTCTACAGCATATAAATAATGCAACATTCACATTTTACGAGAACATTTCTTCAGAAATGCTTTTTCGAAAACAGATTGAGTAGAAGTTGGTGAATAGGTTCACGTTTATCCGAATAAAAAGTTGCACTAAATTGAGGCACCGTCTACCTTGGGATGGCTTCGTTCCGCTTTCTGGCGTCGACTACGTGGAGGAACACTCCTCACTTCAACAATGCTCTCTAATGGTTCAGGTTCATAAGATGGTCTTGTTAAAAACAGTATTATAAATGCAGTCACCAACAGTATACCACCGCAAAGTGCTCCAATAATAATGATCTGTAATTCGTATCCAGCATTTCATTGAATTCTGCTTTTTTCTTTACTCTTTCTTAGAGCTCAATCATGTTCATTCAACTAAATAACAAAACCACAGACTACATCTGAAGTTCGATGCTGGCTTATTCACCGAGTTAAGCCAACAGAATAATCCGCTGGCAGCACGGTTTACTTGCCATGTTAACGACAGATTAGAAAATTCAAACAGCTATGACTTCTGGGCATTTGCACAACTCAAAAAGCTATTCGAGTGTCTTCTGCGATCCAGATAGTGAACAGCTTAAACAGTTAATTACATGCGGTCGTCTATGATTTGATGTATTGAAGCAAATCATTTAGCCAATCAGGAATGATCATACCGCATTAGTCGTCGATAACTGAGCGTAATCCGGATACCAAGAATTTTCAATTACCCCATTCGACCCATTGACACAAATGAGCAATGAGAGCAAAACGACACCGAGCAGACCACTTTTCATTACTTTAAAAAACAATATAATGCCACAAAGTGGTGTTGTTTCTCCTCGAATTGTTTATTTTGAAATTTCCCAAATTTTTTGCAGTTCGTCGTTTATTTTGTATATTTTCAAATCAGTCTTGNAGTGTGTGATATTCTCCTTTGATATTGCAGTGTGTGATATTCTCCTTTGATATTGCAGTGTGTGATATTCTTGCAGTGTGATGTGATAGCTTGAAGAGCGATTCTTTGTTCAACTCGCAAGCTGAAAGCGCCGAGATTCTGCCAGAAAAATTCATGTTTTGCAATCTTCCGTTCTAGCAACTTAATCCAATTTTTATACGATATCAATGAATATAAATAAAGAATGAAGTGAACAGAAATATGCATATTTTGCTCTTCTTTTCTTTCAAATACGGATAAATAGATGAAAACAATGCTGTTTGATCCGCCAACATAGTGAAAACTAAATTTATGCATCATTATGATGATAGATCAGGGTTAACTATTTCTTCATCGTCTTCTTTTGCTCCTGACGTACTGATTTCTGATGTTTGAGTTGCAGCAAGTGGTTCAATCCTCTGAAATTCGAGTCAATTATGGCCAGTCGAGGAGTACATCAGATCTCTAACGATACTATCACTCGTAGTTAAATTTGCCCTACATACGGAATAGCGTTACCAACTTTAGGCACAGTATAATAAACTTTTATATTTCAAGCACTCAGTTTTCTCTAGAATGAGTTTTGTTAGGCAGATATATGCTTTCGTATATTTACCTCAACATTATACTTGTTGAATGTATCGTCTAATTTCGAAAGAAGCGGACACACGAAACGATAATAACATTTTTCCGAGACTCCTGATGTTGGAAGCGCCAGTAAAACAAGAAAGAGCATCTGAAGATATTCTTTCTTTCCAATATGACCAATGGGTACCGACAGTTCGCAGATTTTAAGAGCAATAAACTTCAGTGTGATGTATTCAAGCAGTTATTGCAATTTACCCATTGAGTTATTAAATGCAACTGTCAAATGCTAAGCCATTCGGTTCGAGAACGATTGCTAAAACATCACATTTTATACTCTTAGTGGTGCAATAAAGTAACTTCAAAACCACAACACCCTCAAAACATCGAACAACAAATTCTACATTGAAATTGTTGTGTGATTTGGTTCCAGCGAAACTTATTCACCAATCTTGTGACCTCCATTAATATCGTTTTCATTTTTTTTCGTTTAATTTTCATTGAATTTTCTTATTACCAATTACATTTCCGTGGTGATAATGCTTCTGTCGCTAATGTTTTATCATGGCGTACTGTTTCGGGCCTTCAAAGGTACTTAATTTGTACCAATTTAACCATCAGAGATTTGATTCCTTTTCCAATTTAGAGCTGTTTTCAAAAAGTCAACCTTAAGCAAGTAGAATGGTGGAAAATTGGCTGTTAGCCATCCGGAATAGTAATCTTGAAGAGTGAAGAATGAAAACACTGTCCAGTAGGCAAGCCAATGCTCTCGTTCGCCTGGAATCCCGACTCGACGTTTCTTGCCTAAGGCCTGAAAGCAATTTCTGCTTCGAAATGAAAATGGCAATTTTTGTCACGGAATCAGTTCCCAAAAACACAGCACATATGATGTCTACGACGAAACGTTTCGCAGAATGCACAACAATCATTCGACGGAAACAAAAAACCTTGGTTGTTGCATATGCTGGATAGAAATAACTGACAAGTGAGCAAATGAATGGATCGAAGTTTTGAAGAATTATCAACACAATTGTTGAGAATATTGCACTGTAAAAAATCTGAAAAAGCAGAAACGTCTATAATGAACGCTTTTACTCACAAAGAGAAATGTGCGAAACAGCAGTTTAAATACTTGCACGCATGTGATCAACAGACTTCTGCTTAATGAAATTCAACTCAAAATTACTCAATTTAGTCGCTCTCCTCATCATAATCGTTGACCATTCAACATATGGGACAATTCATGGAACCGGCAATCTTCAATTCGGATGCATCGAGAATATCGAAACATCATCAATAGGAGAGTTAATGTGAACAATTTCAAACTCTTTTCACCTGCTCTCGTCTAACGTAAAAATGTATTTGGATCCAATTAAAGATATCGTCAATCCAACGCCATTTTGGATTGTAAAGGTTCTTCATGAAATAAGGGTGCCATTCACGGAACGGATCTATCGCCTCGGCCAATTCTGTCTCCGAATAAAACGACTTCGGTTCCGTTAGATCGGACACTTCGACCGGTGACTGCTGATCGGGCGCATATTTATCCGGCATGCCGATGCTGTATTCGAATGGCTCACTGAAATGTGGTAGATCGGTGCGACCAAAGTTTCGGAGGCATCCCAGGGTTGCTTCATTTTATCTGTAACCCAAACGCTTTCAATGATAAAGTTGAACGAAACTATTCTATAAAGATATGAGAATAAGAACCCATGGCATTCGTGTCAACCAGATGAAGTCAGAACGTGATGATCTAAACAAATCACCTTCAAATCTCACGTATTTTTTAAGTAGCAATAATTCAAGCTGAATAGGAAGCAAGCACTTAACAAAAGTGTTTATGTGGAAAATAAGAGCAACTTCGCATTTCAGGGCGATTAATGACTCGAAGGTGCAATCATTAACATATTCATACGTTATTACGTGGATTGATGTTTTCTTCGAATTCCCTTTGCATACTCTCATTTTCAGTTATGATGTAGTTGTATCTCAAAACTTTTTCAGTTTTGTTATATCGTGATGTGGTGGGAGGTCGTTTCTTATATTTCTTTGATCTTCACCATCATCAATGTATTCTTATTTAATTGTTCGAAAGTAAGTGCTTTGTTCTGATTCGATTTCTCCTATCAATATGCATCAGCCGATGTGCTAAATGATGTCGGCTCAATGCAAAGAATTCATTATCCTTTCTTCGTGGAGCGGCTTCTCTATTTCCATAGACTGTGAGCAGACGTCATATTAATCCTCAGCTAATTAAAACATTTAAATACTGATGATGAAGGAACAATGATGCGAAGTATGCCTTACAGAAGAGGAAAAAAGCAGATATTGAGAAGAAAGATGTGAATATGAAAACTCATGTTGAGCCAAGCATAAGAATCAATGTAGATCCGATACCATTAGACGCTGAAGATGCTGAGGAAATGAATTCGGATGACGGGTAACTGCTCATTGATACTATCATAGAGACATCAAATTCCTTTGCTCTCTGGAATCCACAGAACTGTTTTCGTAGAAAACTTTATTATAATGAAATCACACGATGACTGGCACTTTGTTATGAAAGCCGATAATTGAACACATGCACTCGTTCAGGTCAATCGAAACCAGTTCTGAAATGGAATGGCAAAAACGATTGCAGAAGGTGGAAGAAGAGTTGCAGCAGGCAAATGATAACAAATTCAATAATGAATCATCTATGTCAGGGCAAATCTCAGTCGTTAATTCCGCATTAACTGCAAATCCATTGGTTACTGCTCAACATTCTAATTCGACGCAAACGGCAATCAAAAATTGTATTTTATCAAACAAAATACTCGCACCTAAGTCAAATCGCAAATCCAAAATGATGATCGCAATCGCGAAATTACGCTCAAAAATTTCGAAACAAGAAAAAGCGCAAAAAAATCTAAGTAGCACAAGAAGGAAAAAGCAAAAGCAAAATATTTCAACTAAGAAGCACAAATACAGAAGAAATCAAAAAGAAGTAATCAAAAAGAAGAATCAAAAACAGAAGCAAAAGTCATTCAGAAGGAATCAAAAAGGAATCAAAGTCATTCAGAAGGAATCAAAAAACCAAAATCAAAGTCATTCGTTGCACGTCAACGATGAAACACCTCAAAAAATTGAACGCATCGAATTAGTGGGCCATCCACTTGAACATGTTGAAAAACCGAAGGCGGAATGCAGGAAAAGAAAAATCAATAAAACTGACAATAAACAGAGTCAAATGAACGTGAACAAAGTGAATAAGCAACGTTGGGCAATAAAATCAGGCATCAAACATCCATCGAAAGGAATCGATACGAAATCGCTGAAAACAGCTCGTGAAGCAGCTCCTTGTCAGCTCGTGAGCTCACTTAATAAGAACTTGACCAAGGATCAAGCAAAAAAGAGCAGTGATAAGCATTCAAGCCAATTTGAAAATGTCGTTCCATTAGAACAATTGCCTCAAACAGAAACTTTGAGGGTGCAAACCACGAACTGCACTAATTCAGGCATAACCCTCCATCATCTAAGTGAACACCAACAGCATCCCATTAATGAATCAAAACGGTCTCTACGAACCGATAAAACGTTGGACAGCATCGAAAGTGAAGACGATTTTACCAGAAGCACTTCAAATTTAGAAACATCCGAGTCCGCATCATACAGTCAAATATTCAATACAGTAATAACTGATGATCCAATGCAAACAAACGAAATCAATAACGAAATACCAAATTCGTCATCAATCATTTTACCGAAAAGTTCCTCTGAAAAAATTGCAACAATCCAATCAAAATCCTCATCACAGCGTAAAGTAAGCAAAGAGTTGGGAATAAGGGTGAAGAGTGCTGAGGATGGTGCCACAACGAGTGAAGAAAACAGCATAACAAGAGTGTCTTGTAAGAAGATTGCTGATGAGAATACGTCGTCTTCAAATGATTATCACAATCAAACCTGATGCTTTTCAATGAAGGATATAGCTCCATTCGATAAATTCCGTGCGAATGTGACTTTCAAAAGGTTGTTTTCAGATTCGGTGCAAAAAAAAAACGATTCAGTGCTCGTGTCACTGAATCGTCACGTTCGTTTGCTTATTCATGCATAACACAGTTGTTCATAATAGTTCATTGTTTTTCACGATGCACATTGTCACAAACAAATAAAACTACTTCCTAGGATATGATAATATCCAGTCATCTCGCATTAAAATGAAACAAAGGTGAAGTATTCTAATCAAATATTTTGACTGCAATTCGACAAATGGAGATGTTTGTCTTCATCAGAGTAATTGAGAAGAAATAATCTCCTCGAAAGGAAGGGAAGATATAAGCGACGGATGCGCAACTTTCAAAATAAATCTGAACATCTTCATTGTGATGTTAGGTTGTTTTATTGCAGTTAGAGTTGAAGCGATTGGGNTTGTTTATCCGATTATACAACTTCCAACACAAAATAATACTTCACTAAACTATTTATAACTCCATGAATATACTTTATACAATAAATAAAATTCGTTTTCGGGAGCACATTCAAAGCATTAGAGATAGCAAACTTCCATCCAATTATATTGGTAATTCCTATGAATTGATGGAAACATGAACAAATCACAAGAGTTTGCATGGGTCTTAAATATTCTTCCACGAACGCATTTCTCTCCCAACAGAATACAACAACACCATTTCAAGAAAGAAAGTCAGAAAATAAGTTACGCCGAATTTGAAAATGACCAAATTGCATGAAGAATGCCGTTTGATAAACCGAAAACTTCCGAAGAACGTTCGAAACCCTACCGTGAATCTGCTCGTACGTCTGATTTTATTTGACAACATGACAAAAAATTCCCCAAGTTCAATCAAAAATATGTTTGTATCAAGCAATGCTTGGACTGAAACGAATTCTTGAACTGAAATGAAATATCTGAAAAGAAATATCCGGAATTTGTGAACCGAAACAAAAAATATCTGGAACCTGCAAAAACATTCTTCGTAAGCCGAATTGTTCTCTCTTATAATCACGCATGCGATCGTTTTGAAACCCATGCAAGCCTCAGGTGGGGTCCATGCTCGAGAGCAGCATTCAGTTTTCGTCTGAAAGTGCGGGTCATTGTCAAACATCTAACAATATGGTCACTGTTAAAAATCCACCCACTACTGACCCGAAAACCGTGATCTTCAGTACAGTGGGATTCAAGGTTCCGTTGTCAACGTCTGGAAGTCATTCCGGAACACGCTGAAAATATCCGAAATTTGCAAATTCAATTAGCTGTACTAAATGAGACATCACTGGATTACTTAAAATGAAACCAGTGTAGTGCATAAAAGAATAGGCGATCCGACAAATTCTTCCAAAGACTATGATTGAGTTCTTCGTTATCTTTGTGAAGTTGGTCACAAAATAAGGAGATGAATTCAATCGTTCATGAATATCTGCTAATGAGACAGGAACATCCGCCTTTGCCTCCAGCATATAAGATGCAAAACGACTTCGTGCTTTTTGTGTTTTCCATTGACAACTTTCTCCTATCCATTCACGATCTTACCGCGTAATTCATCCAACTCTGCCAATCTTTCGCAATTGCATCCATCCTTCAGAACACTTACCAAATTTTGCTAAATACTTTCCGGCCGCATTCCTATAAACTACTGCATTGTATTATGACCTCATTCTCAG